GAGAAAACAAACCTTCTGTGACAGACTGGCCCATGGGGAATGCTTTCCTAACTGAGCAGGAATAACTGCTTGGTGTGAAGCACTGGATGGGAATGCCCTTCCACAGGCAGAAAGTCCTGAGGGATGGGGCTGTCCCAGCTGGGGGGGCCACCAAGGCCACTTCCAGCAGACATCAAATGGGAGCACTGGAAGAGCCAGGTTGCCAAAAACTCCCCCTGCACACCTCAAACCCCATGTCCAGCCACTGCCCAAGCCCACTGCTAAGAGTTTCCTTACAAAATTAGGTGCCCAACTCAGCTTTCATTGCAAAATCAGGTGCCCCAACCCCCCCCCTTTGCAAGCTGCTCATTTTGCACCAAGCAAACTCTTTTTTTTGGTGGCACGTGGTTGAGCAAAGGAGAAGCTGATGATCTACCTGCTGCTGCCTGGAGATATTTATAAATGAGCAAAGTCAACAGCACCCAGGAAAATGCTGGGATGGGCTCAGATTAGAGCTGGCACCCTTGACAAAATGAGACCTGGCAGGAGGAGGCAGCTGAATGAGCCACTGGGAAGTCAGACAAGCTGGATCTTGGCTTCCCCTGCTCATGGGAAAAGGGAGATTCCCCCCCAAAAAACCTCAGCACTAAGTTGCTGTCCCCTGGGAGCCTATAGGGGTGTTGATATATGCTGGGGTGATTCAGTGAAAGGATGTGTAATGAAAGCAAGACATAACGTGGGCTGCAAGCACAGAGGGAAGCATGAATTATTAAGCTGGCAGAATTTACAGGCAACTGGGGGAACTATAGATTTCTTCCTCCACATATAGTTTGGGAACACTGGTAAGAGTGTCAAAGTATTTCATCCTTAAGTATGCAATTAGTCAGCGGGGTGAAAATCACTCCAAGGACTGCTTGGTGGAGGAGTGAAATGGCTCAGGCAGGTTTCTCTGGTGCCACTGTTGGTCCTCAGCTCCAACCCCACGAGTCCACAGGGTCTGGCTTTCAACTGACCCACCTCAGGCTGAGCTCCAGCATCACAGGGGACATGTTTCTTCCCTCCTCTCAGCTTTCCATCCCCTGCAAGCCCACAGCAGGTGGTGTTTGGAGGGCAGACAAAGGTTGAGATGAGGTGGAGGGTGCAGGAGTTGGCCAGGGAGAGGCCTGTGTTTGCTGGCACAGGGCAAGGACCTTCACTCTGCCAGGAAGCCCAGGGAACTAAGGAAATTAAAACCTTTTTAGACAGATAAATGGAACATTTTCAGGTTGGTAATAACTGGGAGCCAGTGCTTTTCACCCACCCAGCAAGCTGCAGGTCTGCAGGACACCCTGCATCTCTACATCTGCTCAGGAGGGTCCTACAAGCTGCAAATCAGCCCTGCTACACCAAACATCCCACAGCTTCAGGCTGCCAAGAAGCTGGCCCAGTTATTCCCAGGAATTTTCAGTCAGCAGCTGGTGAGAGGTGCTTCCTGGTGCTGCAGGTGCTTGCTGGTGAGATGGGCAGATCACAAGAGTTTCTCACCAGCTCATGAAGCAGAGCAAGGTGTGCACTTCCCATGCCCAAGTCCTCACCCAGGCCAGCACCAGTGCTGATGCAGGGGAGCCATGGGTTGCTCTAAACCAGCCAGTGCTGCAGCATCTCTGGGGAGATCTGAAAAAAAAACAACAAACCCAACAACAAACAGGGTTGACCTTCAGAGCTTTCAGTCCACCTTTCAGACACCTCGGGAAGGGAAAGCACAGAGCTGGGAAGCCAACCAGGGACACCATGGAGCTGAGTTTCATAGAATCATTTTGGTTGGAAAAGACCTCTAAGATCATCAAGTCCAACCCTTAACCCAACACCAACCATGCCCACTAAACCACATCCTGAAGTGCTAAACTCACCCCAGCACCCAAAGCCCCCCCTGGCATCCCTGCCCCACATTTCAACACACCATGTCTGGCTGGAGAAGGAAATGCTTGAATTTTTCAAGCATCTTTCCAGGCAGCGTTGGAGGTGTTGTTGGTTTATTTTTTTTTCTGTTTCCTTCCCTGGAAGCCCAGTGAGCAGGAGGAAAGCTGGCACAGAGCAGGCATCACCTGCACAGAGCCCTCAGGTATCTCCAAGGTGCTTTGGGGAGCCTTGAAAACCACCCAGTTGAGGCTTTTTTTTTGGCTTCTGGGAAAGCTCCAAGACACTTTTGGACCTAAAAGCCCCCTCAACACCAGAGGCTTCCCTCCTGCTTCATGCATCAGTGTGCACTGAGCTTGCTCCCACCATTAGCAACAACCAGGAGCAAAACCATCCCAGTGCTCTGGCTCCTGCCAGGAGCTCTTCCCAGCTCCAACCAGCCAACCCTGACATGCTTGGGTACCCTTGAGCACTAGCAAATCCCTGCCTTCTCCTGCTGCACCAAAGCAGCAGGCAGCCAGCTCCATGTCTGGATGGCTCCTTGGCCAGCATTCAGGATGTATCCTGGTCCCAAACTCCAAACAAAGCTGATTTTTCCATCTTGCCATCTGCACCAAAAAGAAAAAAGCAGGGTTTGGGGTTGATCTGGTGCTCAGGAAATGAGAATGCAAGAAATGCACATCAATATGGAGAGATGCACACACACCTCTGTGTGCTCTGGGAAGATTAAAGTGCTTCTCAACCAGAACAAAACGTTCACTTCATTTTCACAGCTTTAGCAATTTTAAAAAAAACAAAAAACACCACAAACCCAACAACATTTCAACACACCATGTCTGGCTGGAGAAGGAAATGTTTGAATTTTTCAAGCATCTTTCCAGGCAGCGTTGGAGGTGTTGTTGGTTTATTTTTTTTTTCCCCTCACAAAAGCAGTTCCCCAAAACTGGCACCAAGAACCAAAATGTTGTTGGAGCATCCAAATATTCAAGTCTCCAAATATCCAAAGATCAACTGCTGGCATCATCCCTGTGGAGCTGACATCCCTCCTGGCATCATCCCTGTGGAGCTGACATCCCTGCACCCACCCCCCAGGGCACAGCTGGCATTTCACAGGTTGATATTGCCAAGCAATACATCAATAAACAGGGTGCAGGTGCTGCTGGGGGTTGCAGAGCTGCATTTTTGGGGTGACTCTGCCCCCCCAAAAGCCACTGCCACACCATGAAGGGCTTCCTTGTCCCAGCTGCTCTGAGCAGCATCACACAAAGGCTCCCTTCTGCATTTCCAGCACCCTTTGCTTGCACAAGCACAGCCCATCAGCAAAATGCAAAAATAGCTCCAAAAATGCTATAATTAGGGTGAATGCACCGTGCATTTAATTGGGTTTTTCTATTTCTTCCTTTACTGGCCCATAAGACACAAGGTCTGGGTGGAGAGAGCACGTTTGGGAGGGAATGGGAGGGAAAGGGAAAGGTGGATGTGCAGCAAAAGCCCTGCAATATTTTCCCCAGGTTTGTGTTTTGGGGGATTTTTTATTGAGCACAGCCCAGGAATTGCAGCAGATTGATTCTTTCACAGCTCCCCAAGGTCGAAATGCTTTGGAGCCAAGAGCTCAGTGCCTGCCAAACGTCATCATTAGCTTTAATAACTCTTTAATTTGAACTTTAATTCAAATACTCATGTTTCCAGGGGACTGGAGGGGGAGGGGGGGAAAAAAAGCAAGCAAAAAAAAATAAAAGCAAAGGAAACCAGCTCAGGTAAAATAATGCAGAAGCTTGTGCTATGCCAGAGGCAACTGGAGATCAACTGCCAACCCTGGGTGGGGGCAGATGGAGAGGCTTTGCCCTGAATGTGAAGGAAAAGACATGGCCATGGGTGCCAGGAAAGCCCCAGGTTCAAAGCTGCCTTTGTTGTTCCAGCCAGGAGGTTCTCCAAGGCCACCTCCCAGGACTGAGGGACCAAACCCACCAGGAACACTGACCAGCTTGGAAAATTTTCATCAAATCATAGAATCACAGACTGGTTTGGGTTGGAAGGGACCTGAAAGATCATCCAGATCCAAGCCCCTGCATGGGCAGGGACACCTCCCAGCAGCCCAGGCTGCTCCAAGCCCCATCCAACCTGCCCTTCAACACTGCCAGGGATGGGGCAGCCACAGCTTCCCTGGGCAACCTGGGCCAGGCTCTCACCAATGACAATTATTGATAATTAAATATTTCTATCTAACCCCTTGAAATGTCCAATTGGATTTCTTGCAGCATTTTAGGAAGGAATTGCCACGTTGGTGGCTCCCCCACCTGTGCTGGGTTTGCAGGACTTGGGCTGAAGAACACTGGAGATGTGCTTCATGGTTCTTTCTGCACCAGCAGTGCAAAGGATGCAGGAGGTGCATTAAATCTGGTCAGCAGGCTCAACAAGAGGGACAGGGAAGAATCCATCCCCAGTGTGACTGGGCTGGCACTTGTGATGTCAGGCTGGAGATGCAGGTGGTGTTCAAAGGCTGGGTTACCCCCCAGGGGCTGGCAAGGGATGCCAGAATGAGAAGCTGTGCTGTTCCAAATCAAGGCAAGATCAACCCATTACCCTGGGGGTGAAGCTGCTTCAATGGGAGGGATTTGTCTGCTCAGACCTGAAGAACCTGGAGCCTGCAGGGAATAATTTAAAGGTGTTTCACACCAAGGCTGCAACCCTGGGTGCAGCTCCTGGGGCAGGGGAGACAACCAAGGGGTTTGGTGGGGATGTGTCACTGTCACCCCTGGGTTGACCCTTCAGAGCCTTCCCACCAGACTGCTGTGGCACTGAAAGCAGATCCCAGTCAAGGTGTTTCTGCTGAAAACACAGGCATTTGATGCTTTGTCAGCACCAGGTGAACTGTTTCCTTTAAAAGAAAAATAACAGCGACAAGAATCTGCCTCTGTCACTGTTCAAGGGTTATGGCAGGGTCTCCCCACCAGCCCTGGCTTCACTCGGGTAATTTAGGCTCCACCAATGGGACTGTATGTGTGTCCAGCTGGTCCCACATCCTTCTGGGATGCCCAGACTCTGCCCAGAAGGACCTGCCTCTCTACACCGAGTGCTGTTTCAGGCCTAACACCAACCCTGCTCTTTTTCTTCTGTGTGCCCAGGTCCTCCCCGTGCTTGGCTGATCAACACTGGCTTAGAAGGCTCTTCCCCCTCCCAAGAAAATGGGGACTGACCATGAAAACCCATTCCTGAGGAACGTGCTCATCAGCTTCAACTTGCTGCTGCTGGGTGCTGTCCTGAAACCCTTTGAGTGCCGGCTGGAGGCGACCACAGAGCCAGGGGAGAGGCTGGACGAGGAGGGTGGCCTTGCCAACTGCAGCCCACCCATCAGAGAGCAGCCCATGGTCTTCCACCACGTCTACAACATCAACATCCCCCTGGAGAGCTGCTGCTCCTCCCTGTTCAAGCCTTCAGCCGAGGAGGTGAGTTCGGAAGACGAGCGGCTGGCGGAGTTGGCGGAGCAGACCTCTGACAGCGAGAGCCAGGTCACCTTCACCCACAGGATAAACCTGCCCAAGCAGGCTTGCAAGTGCCCCACCTCCCTCCCGTCCCTGCAGGAGCTGCTGAGCAGGATTGAGATGCTGGAGAGGGAGGTGTCCGTGCTCCGGGACCAATGCAACTCCAATTGCTGCCAAGAAAATGCAGCCACAGGTAGTCGTGCCATCATCCTGTTAGCTCTTGCTGGGGGCCCAGGGCTTGAGCAAAAGGCAGGAGAAATAAAGACATATGTGGTGATGCCACTCAGAGTAGTGATGGAGAAGAACCTATGTTCACTGATGGTTTAGGTCCTCCAAGGCAGGAGAGCCCCTGGGAGGGATCCAGTTCCTTGAGCCCCCATAACAGGCAGGGCTACAGCCCCGTTCTGGAGAAAATCACCCTGGGTAAGGAGTGAGCAGGGGTATCTCCCACCCCTGCCCCCGTGCAGCACTGTTAGAGGTCTGCCACTGCTTGTGGGACAGGGACAAGAGACATCCCTGCTGCTCTCCTGAGCTGCCCCCAGCCTGAAGGCAGCACTGGGAGACCTAACAAGCAACTCCATCTTCCATGTGAATGTCAGGAAGAACTTGTTTGCTGTGAGAGTGCCAGAGCCCTGGGCCAGGCTGCCCAGAGAGGCTGTGGAGTCTCCTTCTCTGGAGACATTCCAACCCCCCTGGCCACGTTCCTGTGTGATGTGCTCTGGGTGCCCCTGCTCTGGCAGGGGGGCTGGGCTGGGGGAGCTTTCCAGGTCCCTTCCAACCCCTGGGATTCTGTGGGTCTGTGATCTTCTCTGTAGGAGTGAATGTGGTAAAAAAAAAATATGATTCAAAATATGGAGGATAAGTTCTCTTGCCAGGATAGATGCAAACAGAACCAGGGGCTCACATGTCCCATGAGTTGGGGGGGGAGATGTCAGAGGGTTTCCAGCCATGGGCTCACCCTGCATCCCCCCCACGACGTGACACACGTCACCTGCACGAGGAAAAGCCAAAAGGGAAAACACCCCCTGGCTGCTCAAAGCAGGGGTTAAAACTCCAACTGGAAAAAACCTCTCTGAAAGGAATTCATCTGAAACTCTGATGGGTCTATTTGGGTTGCTTGCAACATATGCAGCCAGTCCCATTAAACATTCATGGCTCAGCAGAGGCTCCTCTCCAAGCACGGAGCTAAAACTGGAGGAATTTAACTTATTTTTACCAGAGTTGCTCCCAACTCCCCACACCACCCAGGCAATCAGAATCCCTACCCCTCTGCCTGAGGCATTTCCCTGAGGAAAGCTGCTCTCCCCCAACCCACTCACAAACATCCTCTCTCTCCTCGTTTGATAACTTCGTTAGAGGCTGAGACATGAAGTGAAGCCACTCACCATTCCCAGGATTTGCCATCTGGATGGGAAGCATCCTGAAAAGCAACCCAGACGTGTCTGTCTGGTACCAGATGTAACTGAACCCCTTTTACCCCTTAGTCTGGAGAAAAGGAGGCAGAGGGGAGACTTCCTCACTCTCTATAACCCCCTGAAAGGAGGTGGGAGGGAAGGGGAGGGCTGGGGTTGGTCTCTTCTCCCAAGGAACGAGTGATAGAACAAGAGGAAATGGCCTCAAGTTGTGCCAGGGGAGGTTTAGATTCGATATCAGGAACAATTTCTTCACCCAAAGGGCTGTCAGGCCCTGGCCCAGGCTGCCCAGGGCAGGGGTGGAGTCCCCATCCCTGGAGGGGTTTCAAAGCCCTGTAGATGTGGTGCTGAGGGACATGAGTGGTGAGTCTGGCAGTGCTGGGTCAATGACTGGACTCAACCACCTCAGAGATCTTTTCCAACCAAAACCATCCTATGATTCCATTATTCTACACAAGCACCTGCTGCACCCACCATGGGAAGAGCTGCACAGATAGCTCAGCTGGGACTGAGCTGGGGGATCCCAAAGCACAGAAAGGGTTTCTGCTCTTCATTGCTTCACAGGAGGAAGAGAAGAGACCAAAATTAACCAAGAAAAAATCAGTCTGGCTGCAGCAATTTCTGAGGGGAGCATTGGCAGTGTCAGAGTGGATGTTGCCTTCATCCCTGGGTGTCCTTCCTCACCCCAGCACGCTGTGCAAGGCTGCCAGGCAAAGGGAGGTGGTAGCCACAGTGGCCACGTGCTTTTCCTGCTTTTCCACCAGACCTGTGCTACTTTGGACAATGCCAATGGCTCTGCCTTAATCAGGCTCACCAGGAGAGGGATGAAGGCCATGTCTTTGGGCACATACCTGCTTCTTGTAGGAGAGACAGCCAGCTGGCCTGGATCCCTCATGTGTAAAAAGGAACAATGGGTGGAGAGGAGACAGCAGGAGCCTGCTGATTCATGGCTGGTGGAGGGGGCTTGTCCAGGGAAGGCTTTTTCCCAGCAGAGAGATTCCAGTTGGGTGCTGAGCTGAAGAGAAACCAAAGGGAGAACTTGAACCCCAACAAGGCTGATGGCACCTATAGCTATGGGGGTCAGTCAAAGTCCTGGAGACCCACCCAAGCCCCACCACCAGCCCACACTGTAGAATCGTTTTGACTGGAAAAGACCTTTCAGATGCCCAAGCCCAGCCACGAACCCAACTCTACCGAGTCCCTCAGCACCACATCTTTAAATGCCTCCAGGGATGGTGATTCCACCACCTCCCTGGGCAGCCCGTGCCAGTGTTTGGTGACCCTTTCAGTGAAGAAGTTCCTTCTAACACCGTCAGTTCAGCCCTAAAGCTTCCCAGAGCTGGGGACACGCTCAACCAGGGGCAGCTCATCCCACACCTCCCCCCTTTTCCCCAAAACCTACGAACAGACTGAACTGGGGGCCAACTCTGCCCTTCCTTCCCCTCACCCTGGCCCGGGCTCTGACCCTGGGTCCCCCCTCCTTGCAGGGCAGCTGGACGTCACCCCGCGGTGCAGCGGCCACGGCAACTTCAGCC